AACTTACAGCATCTTCGTGAATTGTAAGTTTTACCAGCAGTTCATTCTGAGATTTGGATTAATGGCATTCAGATGATGTTGATCTAGATAATACGCCTACTGATCGGACACTTTGAGAAACGTATACATGCTGATTCGATAAATCGATTTATTTACGAGTTTGTTCTATGTTTTAGACCTGGGAGAGGATAGTCTTAGAAGTTTTCTGCATTCGCTGGTTCTGTTTGTCTTCGTGTATGCATACGTGTCATAGATTCTCTAACAGAGCTTCTGAGAAGGATTCAAACAGTGGAATCGAGATACTTCGGTAAACATCTTAGCATGTCTTACAATGACCCCATGAAAACTATCAAGCATAATGTCGATAAGTACAGGGTGACCCCAAAAATCGGGAATTTTTGAAGTGCGTATTGCCAGACATGAGCAAGTGGCAACACTGCGAGACAGTGACCTTGAGCAAGTAAACATTTCGCCATTTAGAATTCAAAATGAAATTCACAGTATCCCAACCGAGATGTTGCAGCAGTCAATGAGGAATCTCAACAGCAGATTTCAAGAATGCATTCGTACAGGAGGACGCCATCTACAGGACGTAATTTAAAAAAAATGAAAATTCCATCATTGTTTCTTAAATGGCATGTTTTAAGGTTTCAATTACTATGAATAAAATATTTTTCTTCCATCACTCTTGGTTTTATTGGATTGTTAAAAGTTCCTTTTTTTGGGTCACGCTATATAAAGAGATTCTGACTACAGTAAGAAAGGTCTTCGTCATGCTCTAGATGCGTGATAATATTTGTCGGGGTATCTAAGAATATCGGAAGATGGAAGGAGAAAAGGAGTCAGTGCAGATAACAAATGATACGAAAGGCCCTCCGGGTCGGCAAAAGAATCCCCAAACTGCATTCGTTATAGTTAGGCGATGTAGAACCTGAGTAACACCTTCTTCCAGTGCGCGTAAAGTTCTTTGATCTCGAGGCCCGTTCTCTTAGTAGCAATGTGAGGCGCTACTATAGTATGATATCTACCATTTGCTGCTATACTATAATATTTACTATTCATTTTCTACTATGGTATGGGTCTAGGGTCTAGGGGTAAAGGCTGTGAACAGTGAACTAGTTTCTGTCTATATTTCTGAGATGAGGTATTATGTACACTATTTACATTATTGTCCTCATCTTTGTCGCCATATTTATTACAACGTTTCGGCCGTTGTACGTTCCGGCCTTCTTCAGGTGGTTGGAATGTCGAACTGAACCCTTTATTTCGCTCACTGGGGTAGACTGTTCTAGTTCCACGTAGATAGACAGCAGCACAGAGGGAAAGGCACAGCGGACACTGTACCAAAATCACGAGAAATGAAGTCAGCTGGGAATGCGCTCAATAGCGCCGTGCCACTACGAACATATCAGGTTATGGGACCAGTGACGGGGTTGGATAGTGGATGTTACGACATATCAACACATTTTGGGTTATCAGTTTTTATTACACTTGAGTCTATAGTTACATATTTGTCGGCTTTGTACTTGAGGCAATAGGTAAACATTAGTCTATATGTGAGTCTATGGGTAAACATTACTCAGGATTCATACTTTTTTCTACAGTTGAACATTAGTCGGTTTATATTGTGTTTAGAGATAAAATTTAATCAGATTTATACTTGATTCTATAGGTAAAAAATTGATCGGGTTAATACTCTAGCCTATAGGTAAACTTTAGTCGGGTTTATACTTGTGTCTATATGTAAACATAGGTAGAGATTGGTTTTAATTTTGAGTCAATAGGTAAACATTGATCTAGTTTATATTTCGTATTTATAGCTAATCATAGATATCGATTTGGCTTATACTTGAGTCTATAGGTAAACATTGGTCGGGTTTACAATTGAGTATATAGGTAAACAGGTATAGATGGGGTTTATATTTGAGTCTATATGTAAACATTATTTAGCGTTATACTTGAGTTTATAGGTAAACACTGGTCGGAATATTAGTTGTATTTATCGGTAAAAATATGTGCAAATTGGTTTATATTTCAGTTCATAGGAAAACATTAGTAGGGTTTGTACTTTAGTCTGTGGATAAAAATTTACCGGGTTTACACTTGAGTATACCGGTAAAGGTAGGTATAGATGGAGTTTATATTGAGTATATATGTAAACATATGCATTTGGGGTGGTACTTGAGTTTATAGGTAAACATTAGTTGGGTTTATATTTATGTTTATTGGTAAACATTAGACGGGTTTATCTTGAGTCTATATGTAAACATTAGACGGGTTTATACTCCAGTCTATAGGAAAATATATGTATAGACGGTGTTTATATTTGAGTCTGTATGCAAATATTATTTGGGGTTGCAGAGGACTTGTTAGTCCTGTTCTATCTATAAACTTTAACGATATTTCAAATATTGTAATTTTAGAAGACATTATGTTATGTCGTTATACGTTTTACTCTGTAGCCAAATGTATTGAAATAGTCATAAAGAGCCTGGCAAAAAATAAATAAATAAATAAAATAAACAGAACTCCGCTGAAGAATTGAACAGCATTATTCAAATCGTCAATACGAAAGACTTGAGACAATCTATTTTCGAAAGGTTGTGATTGATAAATTTGCATCAATGAAATCAAGGAACTAAGGAGGTATAACCGTTGGTCTAAAACTAATTATGGTTAACTGGCACTTCTCTTACTTTTTTGTTAAGCATTCCACCCCAAGTAAGGCGGGAAGCGACTAGCACGCAAGGGGTTACAGAGAGTTGGAGCGAGAGCAAAGAGGAGGAATAGAGGAAAGGATGAAGAGAAGGTTAGGGGATAGATCAGGTCATCTGGAGACGTCGATTGACGTTACATTTGAATAGTGGGAGATTATAGCTATCAGGAAAGCAAGAAATGGGGAGAGAGTTCCACAGGTGAGAAGTGCGAGACATGAAGCTATTGGAGTAGAAGAGAAGGCTACATTTAACAGTTTCGACACTGAAAGGGTGAAAGCGAGATGCCAGCCTAGTAGAACGCTTAAATTCATGAAGTCTGGCAACCAGCGAAAGCAGATCATCGGAGCAGTTACCGTGAAAGTATTTATAAAAAAGACAGAGGGAGGCAACGGCATGTCTGTGAGAGAGCGACTGCAGACGAGATGCCAGATCAGGACCAATTACATTGTTCTTTTCTTTCATTAATATCAGTTGCGGAATTGGCTCTTGGTCATTCGTGAACAAAACAAATATTTGCAGGGGTAATTCCTGGGGATCCTTTCGCCCTGCTGGTACATCCGTTACCCTTAAAGTGACATATTCAGAGTTTAATTTTGAAGCGTAGGGCGTCTGAAAGGGAATAACTAAGGTGGGTGAGGATTTTTCGTTGTCAGTCTTATTATCTTGCACGGGGTGAATTGATTAAAATAAATAAATCTCTCTCATTGTCATATTAATAGCATAGAACCAAGAGGTATTTAAGGTGTTTGACCTTCAATACCTCTTGGTTGTATGCTATTAGTCATTCTCCATTAATATCAATTGCCTAATTCGATCTTCGTGAACAAAGACAAACCTTTGCACCGGGTAACTCCAGCAGTTTCTTTTGTGCAGCCTGTACCTCCCCATTACACTGAAAGAGTTATATCCAGAGTTTAATTTTGACGCTTTAGGCGTCTCAAGGATGGTTGGGCATTTTTTGTTTTGTCTGTCTCACATCTATGGAGGCTTCGGAATTTAAAAAAAAAATACGCCTTGTGGTACTTCCCCTCGGCGAATAAGAATAAGTATATGCCATCTGAACAAGATATTTCTAAATTTGGTTCATTTCCACAGAACGATTTCTTTTCATAACAGAAGACATTATTATATTTAACGAAAGTTATTTTTTCTTTTCTTTTTTTTCGCTTTTTAAAGAGATATGATTATGTTTAATGGAATTTCTTCTAAAAAGAAAAGAGGAAGATTTAGTTAATGGCGGAATAAGAGCCAAACCGCGAAAATAAAACGACGCGTGTTACCTTTTTGTTTTAAAAAAGTTTTTTTTTCTTTTTTACGTAAAATGAAAAGATATGATTAATTGAGTTAGCGTTTTCAGAAAAATGGAGGATGAACTCTTGGCCCGCCTTTGTAATTATTCAAGTAATTTTAGATGTGATCGGTTCGTTAAGTAAATTAATGACAATTAGTTTAAGAGAAAGAAAAAAAAAGGCGCATCTTCTTCGCGAACAAGGAAAGAAAATTATTTCTTTTTAAAAAGAATGAAACTCTTGTCGGGCAGAAATTGAAGATAATTTCTCCATTTTGCGTACAGTTTTCTTCGTCCCCCATAACTCCTTCACAAAACTAAAAGAATCAATTGATGCACAGTCTATATTTAATATCATAAGAATGTCTCAAATTTGTAAATTGGATAACTATATTAGCCATTTTGGATATGAGAACTGAAAGAAGGTGCTGTTTTAATGTAAGTATTGAGTTTTAAAAAGCTAAGTTTGATTCAAGTCTGTAGGTTTGGGTTTTCTCGGTGAAGGTGGCGCTAAACAGAGTTTTAATACGGTTGTCAACCATGACGAATAATAACAGCATTTTCTTTCTTTTGGTTAAATATGCGCCCCCTGCAATGTTTACAAACTCATAAGGAATATCGTAACATTTTATCAGACTAAACCCAACATAAATAAAAATTGCTGCTTCTGAAGGTGAGAGTTGAAAAGTGACACTAGGAGGCCATTTCTGCTATATTGAGTTTGACATCCATTAAACTCTCTATATTTATGACTTTAAACCAGACTAAGTTAAAATTTGTAAATAAATTTTAGCGATGCCACACCATGAAGCTGTGGGTAGTATTATCTGGAGACAGAGGCTGATGTAGAGAGTTTTATTCTGCCAATGTAATTCACGTTTGAGTTGAGAGAGATAGATAGATAGATAGATAGATAGATAGATAGATAGATAGATAGATATGAAGCGAATTAGATAGCTTTGAAAAAACAGTTACAAATAGACTGAGATTTCAGATTAAAAGAAAAAGATAGATAGATAGATAGATAGATAGATAGATAGATAGATAGATAGATAGATAGATATGACTAGACTGTGATAGATAGAGATATGACTAGACTGTGATAGACAGATAAATATGACTAGACTGATAGATAGATAGATAGATAGATAGATAGATAGATAGATAGATAGATAGATATGAAGCGAATTAGATAACTTTGAAAAAACAGTTACAAAGAGACTGAGATTTCAGATTAAAAGAAAAAGATAGATAGATAGATAGATAGATAGACTGTGTTGTGGATTGCGGGGATGGAATGCCGCACAAATAAATAAACAATGCCAGTAATTGAAATAGAAAAATATGTGTATTAAACGTAAGAATACAGACTTGAAGTGAAGATTAGTAGTCCAGGAATGCGGGTTAGTAGAAAAGTATATGTACAAGTCTCTGTAAGTGAAGCCGTAATTATCTCTCTTTCTGGACTCTCGTATAACTCTGGGTGAACACCCTGTCTCGACGCTTTTTTCACGCTATCTTTCCGTAGTCTAAGTATACTTTGGACGAGTCCATTTTGTGTACAAGAGGCGAGCCCCACGATAGATAGATAGATAGATAGATAGATAGATAGATAGATAGATAGATAGATAGATAGATAGGAACTAAGTGTAATGATGGATACCTACACACTGAGATAGATAGATAGATAGATAGATAGATAGATAGATAGATAGATAGATAGATAGATAGGAACTAAGTGTAATGATGGAGACCAACACACTGAGATAGATAGATAGATAGATAGATAGATAGATAGATAGATAGATAGATAGATATGTACTTTTGGATTGTTAATTAATTGTTTGATTAATTGATTCGTTTTCTACGTCTTATCAACCCTTTGTGGGTTATTTAAAACCGCATAATTTGAAAATAATAATAGTGATACAATCTTACAAATTAACCAATAGTTGCGGTGGATTCATACCTTAAGCCCTTTGCTCTTGGTAATATAACGTACTTAACGTGAATTGGAACTCGGCCCTCCGATTATCAATTCTGAGCCATTATCCATTACACCACCTGCACATCCATCACGTAAGTGAATGTAATGGGTTCGACTGGAATTCGAACTCGATCCGAGCGCGCTATCCATTACTCCACCAAAAACGACCTCATTGCTCACACGTTCCTTCCATCGAATCCTTCAGAATCCTTCAAAAAATGTCAACCTTTTTTGTCTTTTTTCTTTCTATTCTCCTTCAGTCTGTGCCATGCGTGATACACGCTTAGCCGATCATGTATCTTTCGATACATGACTTACGAGGTAGATTTTTTTTTCCTGCAGTAGGTTGCCATTTCTTTCTGCGGTAGATTGCTATCCATCCAAGGCTATAGAACCCGGTCTGTCCCGCTATTTACCCATAGCTGGGGAGAGAAGAAGAGGATTCAGACCTTTCCCTAAGGTATTAGTACGTAAGTGAATATAATGAATTCGACTGGAATTCGATCTCGGCTCCCCGATTCCTCAATCTGAGCCGCTATCCATTACTGCACCGAAAACGCCCCATTACTCACATATTCCTTCCATCGTATCCTCCAGAATCCTTCTTTATAAATGCATCTCTGGTGCTTGAAGTTTCATCTTCATTTTTAAAATGTCTTTTTCTGATTCTAAGTAGCAGTGACGCCTTTTATCGCCTTGATCGCATGTCACGTCCATGGTATTATCAGGATTCATCTGTAGAAATTTGACTTTGTTTCCTTTAGTTTCCTCGTCATCCCTGAGGAGAATTTGCAGTAGTTACTGCCATATAGAAAGATTGATATTACATAGAAGATCAAGCCTGTTTTCTTGCTCCCTGATATGGTTTTCTTGTTTCTTTATACTTTGTTTAGTATTTGCAAGGTGTCTTCCGATAATCCAATGATCCATCGTGTTTCTGGGTCCCATTTCGCGTCATCTGTGTAACACTTTTCACGTGTAAGCTAGACTTGAACTCAGACCTCTCACCTAAGTGAGAAACATATAATCAATTCTGGCACAAGGCTGAGTAAAAAAGGATTTACTATGGAACGAAACGCATTCGCTTGAGATAAATGTCTAGATAATTCAAAGGTCAGCATTTTAATCAATCAATTGTAAAAATATTTTTAGACTTTGCTAATTTTGCACTTGTAAGAGTTCGATAACTTCGTATACAACAATAAAGTATAATTAAGAAAGATGTGACCGATAAAGAGTCTTGCAAATAGATGCTAATCAAGAAAAAAAAACGGTTGATTACTTGTTTTTCATATAAAAACTTTGAGAAAAATTAATCTCATATATAATATTGTAGCTGCTATGTTTTCTCTTATCTGAGGTTCATTTTCTGTAGTTTTCGCTAAACTTGGTTAACATTAGAAATTATAAGTTTTAGTTAGTTATAACCCCGAAATGCAAAGGCAGGGATACTAGCAATTTCATTAAGTGAAAGAGAAGAAGTAAAGCGCGTCTTTAAATAAAATCATAAAAGTTATCGACTTAATCAGGATAGAAAAAAAAAACTATGTTGATGTTACTAAGATCAACCGTAAGAAAGGTCTGGTTTAATTTGGATTGGTTTATTCAAGGGCATATCAACATCTTATGGGTCACTTAATGCCGAAATTTAATTTTCTTTGGAGGTTATTTTTTCTTTCTTTCATGCTATAAAATCTATTGTAGGTTTTTTTTTTTTTTTGCTACTAGAACTTGTAAAACTTGGGATGACCCATACCCTTTATGCCTACATGAAAAACTACACATTATCAAGTTTCTAAATAATAAAAAATTATTAAACAATAAACATGAGTTAACGGTTTTTTGCCGACATCATCAAATTTGCGCATTGAATAATTAGCATAAAAAACAAACAAACAATAAAATAATAAATACAAATTTTAAACTCCATAGTCTAAATAAAAAGTTTAAATGCCCTACCCAATGAAAAAAAAGAAAGAAAGATAACCCTTTACGAAGTCGTCAAAAAAACAAATGTTAGCGAATTATGACAGTTTTTTTTATATACACAAAACCCTTTAAGAAAAAAATAAAAAATAAAATAAAATAATAAATAAATCTCCATAGACACTTAACCAGACTAGACGATGTCATCTTCCGCTTTAAATTTAGACACCCCAACCTTACCCTGACTTGACCTCTTTGAATGTAACTGAGATATTGATAAAATTTTTAACCTATACGCCCCTTTTCTTTAAATAATTGCTCTAGCCGTTACCATAGTAATATTAATTTTAATAATCAATATGCTTATAAAACGCGTAAATTTCAGGAATTACTTATTCCCAAAAAATTTCGTTTGAAGATGGAACAGAGCTTGGTACTTCAATTTAATTCAAGTAATTATATTGAAGTTTTCGGCTTTTGTTTTGAAACATGATAACTCTTATGTAGCGATGGAATCATATTTTTAAATAAATAATTATATGTAAGCTCTACTTTTGTATCGAGCATTATTTTTTTAAAAAATGATAACAAAAATACTAAAGAACTTTGGATTATTTACCTAACGAGTTCTTTCCTATTTTCTCTACATTTTTCCACACACACACACACACACACACACACACACACACACACACACACACACACACACACACACACACACACACATATATATATATATATATATATATATATATATATATGCGTGTCTATGTTTATGCGTGTGTATGCGTATGTGAAATGCATGATATCTGTAGAATTCTGTACCATCCGCGTTTTCAAACATCAGCTGTAATTGAACGTTTTCTCATCAAATGAATTTAGGTAAAAATGAGTGATCGAATAACGAATAACATCTCATACACTGTCTAATAAGAAATTACTTTCTTCTAGTCACCCCCGAATACACAGAAAGGCTTTAAACCATTATTATATATTAATCTAGGATTGATAACTCTAGATGTGAAGAGGTCAAGTTTATTGTGATTGGGAAAAGAAGCGAATGAACAGACTTTAGAAGGAACCCTAAACGAAATCCTAAACAGGGAACAATACTACAATAGCGGATAAGGTCAATTAAATTGCGCCCTATTAAGACAAATTTTGTGAGAAGATATTAATAAACATTAAGCCTTAACGCTTTTAGATAAAGCTAAAGTAGATAAATCAGTTAGTCTTTAAATTTATATGTGGCACGTGGCCGAGTGGTTAGAACTTTCGAATTCTGATCATGAGACCCGGGTTCGAATCTCACCATGGTCTATTTGTCAGGAATGAGACTTCCTGATGTTATGTTAGGGATCGATCCCAGCGTGCGGAACCTTTGGAAGGTACCTGAAAACTATACCACGATTTGACCCAAGCCTTGTGAGGGAAATTGGCTAGACGGAACCCTTGATAGCTGTCCTGCCACAAGTCATCGTGACCGAGGGGTTGAACGTGCTGGCCTTGTTCAAATTAATAATCACACTAGATAACACGCTCTTTCCCAGAAACTGTAACTAAGGTCTGCTCATCCTAGTTGCAGTATAAACTGCGGGTGTTGAATCAACACAAACGCGCAATAGGCTAACCTCAAATGCGAGTGGCTAGCTATACATACATTATATTTATGATTAAAATTAAAAAATGAATATATTACTCAACAAAAATTAGATTGGAAAATCTGTTCTGTCATAGCATTGGAAGATGTAAAAGAAACAGATTTCTTTTTGATATATGAAAGTAAGTTATTATTTCCTCACATTATCAATAACCTATTGTCATCTATTTGTTGATCCATTCTTCTGGTGCCCATGCAAAGCCACACTTACTATCAGTTCTAACCTCTTCGCAATATACCGTAAACTTTAATACTTGCAATTATGTGAAAAAGATGGAAGTCAGATGATTCAGCATTAGGAGAGTAAGGGCGATGAGGCAAAACTTCCATATTTACTGGCACAAACGTTTTCTGAATGACTGAATCAATATCTGGTTTTACATTATCGTGTAGGGACATTTTTTATAACAAGATGATCAGCAATAGATTTGCATTTTATAGCAAAATGACCAACAATGCATTTTATAGCAAAATGACCAACAATACAATACAAACTGGGATGGGAAAACTATGAAAGTATAAAGATGCATTTTTGTAGTAAAAATTTCCAGCAATAGGTTTTTATAGTAAAAAATAAATTCAGCAATAGATTTTAATAGATAAATAAATCCAGCAATAGATTTTAATAGATAAATAAATCCAGCAATAGATTTTAATAGAAAAATAAACCTAGCAATAGATTTTAATAGATAAATAAATCCAGCAATAGATTTTAATAGAAAAATAAACCTAGCAATAGATTTTAATAGAAAAATAAATCCAGCAATAGATTTTAATAGAAAAATAAATCCGGCAATAGATTTTAATAGTGTAAAATAAAACCTTAAGAAAACACCCAAGAAATTTAAATTTCGGCATTAAATGAACCATAAGAATTAGATATGCCGTTAAGTAAACCAATCCAAATCAAACCAGACCTTTCTTATGGAAGATCTTATCGATATCAACGATAACTTTCATCATTTTACTTAAATATACGCCTTACTTCTCTTTGGCTTAATGAAATTGCTAATATCCCTGCCTTTGCATTTAAGGATGTATCTATGAAAAGAAAAGATAAAACAAGTCATTTTTAAGCAGTGTATTGTTTCATAAGTGTTGTTATTTGTTATTTGGAATGTACATCCAACGCACTAGAACAGGGTAAGTTATGTCAGCAAAATGTAACGGCGACGACGGCGAGGCATTCAATAATATACGTTCATATATAGGTTAAATGTTTAAATTAAATAGAATAACGGAATCACGAAATAATTATTAATACAATAGAACAATTATAACAATCTACTTTAATAAATGTTATATGATGGATACAAAGTTTTTTCTTGCGGTGTCCTGAGAATGCCGATTAACTACATCCGGGAAGAATGGCCACAGATCGAGAGGTTTTAAGGAGCGTGAAACACCTCTTAATTACTGTTATTCCCAGGTTCATCCAGGCGCGGGGTGGTAGCATCTGTTAGGGTCCCAGCTATGGGCAAATAGTGAACGCCCAAACTAAAATCAAAACACCAGGAATGTACAAATGTATATTTGTATAGTAAAAATACCAGAAATACATTTTTATAATTGACCAACAGTACATTTCTATAACAAGATGATCAGCATTGGATTTCTAAAGCAAAATGACTAAAAATGCATTTTGTAGCAAAATGACTAACAATAAAATACAAACTGGGGTCGGAAAACTATGAACATTTGAAAATATATTTTTGCAGTAAAAAATATCAAAAAAAAATTCTACAATAGATTTTATTAGTATAAAGGAAAAAAAATTAACAAAACTCCAAAGAAAATTAAAATTCGGCATTAAATGACCCATAAAGACGTTGATATGCACTTGAATAAACCGAACCAAACCAATCCAAACCAAAGCAGACCTTTCTTACGCTAGATTTTAGAAACATCAACATAGTTTTTTTTCTTTCCCGATTAAGTCGATAACTTTCATAATTTTACTTAAAGACGTGCTTTACGTTTTCTCTTTGAGTTAATTTAATTGTCAATATACCTGCCTAGTTATAATACCATTTCGGTATTATAACTAACTAAAAGCTATGAGTTATTAATCTCTGGTGTTAACCAAGTTTAACTAAAATTACACAAAATGAACTTCGGATTAGAGAAGTTTGCTTCTAATTGGCATCAATATTTCGCCGAATTAACTATTTCTTTCCTGTTTAACATTTCACAATAGAGACACATTTCATACACCACCAAAAACAGATTAAAACCTATTTGGGTGTAGTCCTAATTTAGGAATTAATTTTCGTTCTTCAGAAGGGCCTAAATAATTTTGCTTTGTTTGGATATGATTGCATTTAATCAATGGTGATTAGTCAAGCCCTTAAAGATAGGATAAAATGTTTTTTTCCTCAATGAAGGAAGCTTCTTTTTTTTTTTAATCGCTTCACTCAAAGCATGGTAACACAGCCACTCAGATGCAGGGGATAATGAGTGTGAAAAAGATATTCTAAAAATAAAACATTATTAAGGAATAAGACCAATAAAAGAACAGAAATTAATACGATAGATAACGACTGACATTGTAATTAAATTTTTGATCAAGCAAATCTATGTGTTAATTATTATGATTTGCATCACTAAAATCAATATACCCCACCTTGAAAAAATGTCTTATAACTTAAAAATATGTTTTTGGACTTTAAATAACCTATAAACGGTGTATAAGCCGTAGAAAACGAACAACGAAGCTAAAATATCTCACAAGAATCCGTCGTGTGTCTAATAGAGTTTTATACTTTATACTTTATACTTCCTCTTTGCTTCAAGCCCAGGTAATATGCTAGCATTTTGAGATGTTGAATCTATAGGCAAACAAATAGATTGATTTGTTTTTTATGGCTTATCAACCTTTTGCTGTTTATTTCAAGCTAGAAAATAATTTTAGATTGTAAGAGATTTTTGCAGATAATAATAGATTTACTGAAACAATCTTACTAATTAACCCATATCTGGGAGGCTGAAATGCCTTTTTCATGAATATATGCGCGTAAGTGAATATAAAAAACCTGACTGGAATTGGAACTCGGATATCTGATTAACAATTCAAAACCATTATCAATTACACCAACCGCACACCCAAATTACAGCACCTGCTATTCCCAAACGAGAAAATCTTTAAAGATTTCGACTCATGATCATTACACTCTTTAATATGTTTAGCATCGTGCGACACAGAGATTAATTGTAAATTTTGAGTGAGAAGATTTCATTTTTGTTAGTTTTAGAAAATCATTCTCAATTTTGACTACTTTTCTTGCTCGGGAAAAACACAACTACTTAAGCCACATAACAGTCCATAGGTGTTCTTTGTGCAGTACGGAACTTATGAGATTTTTCGCAGACAGAAAATTAAGTTCCTTACTTGTAAGATAATTTTAACCAACCATCACCAAGGGAATGTAAGGGAGAATTACATTATGTTACCGGAAGAGCAGAAAGTCCGTAGGCAATTTTATTTCTTGATTCGATACTGGGAAAGCGACGCAAAATAGCTCTGTAAACAGCGTCACGTACATCCGTTTCCGGATCAGACATCGAGTTTGGGCTTCATAGGCAAAAGGGTTCAATCCTAAATTTTGCTTCCCATCTCAGAAGATCGCTTTAGAAAATATGTTTGCGATCAGAACATTTAAAGACGAGAACATATCCAGTGGATAAATAAAGGCTTCTTACCCAAAAGTTATGTTTTCTACTTCAGGACACAATTATTGAATTGTAGCAAAAGTCATTTATCTTCAAAAGCTGTATTTTCTCTCTCTCTCTCTCTCTCTCTCTCTCTCTCTCTCTCTCTCTCTCTCTCTCGACCCAAACAATAAGTCTTTCTCGTCTCAAAAGCAGAGAAACAACGAATAAAATTCATCAAAAAATAGCATTTTCCTAGGGCATTTGATATCGTTTCGATACTCATAGTTATTAACATCGTTTCGATACTAATAGTTACTAATATCGTTTCGATACTAATAGTTACTAATATCATTTTGATACTAATAGTTACTTAGCCGGTCTTAGTTTGGTACATAATTCGAAACGAAGTAAACGTAATTTTTTTTTTTTTTACACGGATTTCACCACGATACATCTTTTAAGCTTGGTTAAATATTATTATTATTGCTCAATGTAAACTCCAATGGTGTAACAAAAAAAAACCTTGGAAAATTCCAGTAAGGTATCTTTAATCATTTCTACGATACAATAGTTCAGAGCTTAATCTAACAAATATACAGTTCTGCTTTTACATGATGTCGACAATGGTTCTGTTTACACCCACTATATGGAAAACTTAAACACACTGTTATACTATCTTAGGATATTACATCAAAAACATTTCCAAAAACCGCTACACAATTGCAGTCGTGTTTCGTTGCGAATGAATGCATCTCATCAGGCGTTAGTAAATAACTGCTAAGTAGACAATTTATTGAGATTTAAAAGCAAGATTGTACCTCTTTTCACGAGAAAAAAAAGATGAAAAAAGAAAAGGAAAAGGTGTATGAAACAAACAAGAGGAGACGGTTTTAGGATTTATTTGGTTTTACTCAGATAAACAGATCGAGTAAGTGAAGGTAAGGAGAAAGCTAACGCTAAGAAGCGACCGTTCGTAAAGGGTCATGACCTGCAGATTTAAAATCACAGTCGGCAACCAGACAACCGCATACCAGCGGATGTAAATTGCTACAATATTATACACCAGACAATGTCATTTCCTAGGAAAGATGAAAGGTAATTTAACAAAATTCTCGACAAGCTACAATGCCGTGTGATTAAAAAATATTCTTTTTTATAGTTGGTAAATAAACAGGCACTTTAAGAAAGTAATGACTTATTTAAATATATTGAGCTATGTAAAATAAGATTCAGCGGTTAACTAAAGGTTCTTTATATAGGATATTAATAAAAATTGAACCTCTTTAAAAGTAAATGTTATAAACGTTGAAATTGTACTCTATTCTTTCGCATTTGATATATATATATATATATATTGCCATCCACAGACAGACTATTTTGTTGCATCCCAGCTTATCTGTGTGGCGAGATGTGCGGTTGCCTCGAGCCAGGATCGAAACCCGACTGAATTGATATCAGTCGGGGGATTCTACCAGAAAGCCCTTGGCGAACGGCAGGGATGAAGGTTAATTTAAGCGTAATTATTTTTAGATAAACACACAGTGACTGAGAGATTCGACTTACCAAAGAGTCTTGCATTATTAGCCGTAATAGTAACTGTTTACAAACCCACACTTCCTCCCCAGAGAGCTCAACCGAAATAAATTTTCAGGAGCATATATATATATATATATATATATATATATATATATATATATAAGAAATATAGTCTTAAGGTGTGCTATATTTAGGGATAAAGTGCTCAATATCAGAGATAGAGCGTGTGTAAATATAAAAGTGATCATAGAAGTCAACACTTAGAGGCGACAGTCTGTTTCATGCTATATGCAATCGTCAGTTAGGTGGCCTGACGATTGCATCTAGCATGAAAAACAGACTGTTGCCTCTAAGTGTTGACTTCTATGTTCATTATATATATATATATATATATATATATATATATATATATATATATTATATATATATATATATATATAGATAGATTATATATATGTGCTGTCTTTATAAAATTTGCTTGCGTTAAAAACGTTTTGTTCCAGAAATACAGTTGTCGACTATTTATAGTGTCACTCCAAGTAAGGCAGTAAAGCCACTAAGACACAATGAGCTAATGAGTGTGAAAGAATTAGAAAAAAATATTATTAAGCAGCGAGAACAATAATAGAAGAGAAATCGATAACGACTGACAATGCATTTAATTTATGAAAATCAAACTTGACTGGAAAGCATGGAGCCGGATGAGTGTTCCACAAGTGAGAAGTGCGAGAGAAGAAACTGTTAGCATAGAACTTACAGCTGCAGCGAGCCAATTCAATTCTAAATTGCTGAATCATTGTTGCCAATCTAATACTGCGCTTAAATTCATAAAGTCTAGGTATCATAGCGGAAAGTTCTTCCAGAAAATATTTATAGAAATGGTACAGGGAAGCTACATTATGGCAGTGGAAAAGTGACTGAAGCCGAGATGCCAGGTCAGGACTAATAATATTGCTGATTCTTCATTGTATTTTTTCAAGAATCTAAATATATTGCAGTAGCAGTAGAACATATGTCGCAGCAATATTTAAAATATGGACGAATTGCAGACTTATAAATATGTAGGATAGATTCTGGAGAGAACTACAATCTTTGCTACGTACATTATATAAATATGAGCGCGTCCTTGTGTGAAAGAGAGAGAGAGATAAAGAGAGAAATTGAGCAAAATGGGCTAACTGCCCTAGGTGACAGTAAGTCTAGAAGAAGGAAAAACTATATATATATATATATATATATATATATATATATATATATATATATATATATAATGAAATGGACAAAAGTCAACAATTATTTTAAGACATTTTTATGTTTATACATTCTTTTTATAGATACAAATATTTAAGTAAATGCTTTGTTTATAATAAACAGTATTAAACAACATTTACCAGCCTGATTGTCCGAGAAATTTTCATAGAAAATATTCGTCCTCCGACAGGATTCGAATTTCTCGGGCATTCAGGCTGGTAAATGTTATTAATACTGTTTATTATAAAACAGAGCATTTACTTAAATATTTGTATCTATAAAAAAATGTATAAACATAAAAATGTCTTAAAATAATTGCCGGACTTTGTCATTTCATAATGTGTGACGTCATTTGTTTACATTTGGATACGCTCTGAGCAGATATGAATGTACGTGAGAGATTCATGGAAGATTGTAGTTTAAAAGTAGTAAAATCGACTTTGCTCATCGAAGGTTCCTCTGTGGGTCAATCGGTTAAAGCACCTCAGACTATATGACGGTTCTGTATAGAATACAAGTTCGATTCCTGTCGGAGGACGAATAATTTATTAGGAAAATTTCTCGGACATTCAGGCCGTTAAATGTTATTAATACTGTTTATTATAAACAGAGCATTTACTTCAATATTTGTATCTATATATGTCTTTCAACGATAATGTGATTAAGCTTATCAGACAATATGAAAGGAACTTATACAAAACTTGTCTATATGATTTAATGAAACATACATTAATATATATATATATATATATATAGACTAATTGATAATATGTAGAGATTATTGCAAAGAGGACTTTAATTCAAAGTGAATTCGATGTAAGTTACAGAGCACTTTTTTATTTAATTGATATTTTTTATTTATTTTAGTGTATCATTTTATTTTCGCTGGTAATTGTTATTAATATTAATTATTATTATTATTAGTTTAAAATAATGATGATTGTATGATGTGATGATGCCGTATACACTGCTATGACTTTCACTGATATTATTAGATACATTGTTGTAATACTTTTAACTTCCTCTCTCTTTTTCTTCCCATTTCTCTGTCTTCACCTACCCGTTCTACTAAACTTCAATATAATTATTTGAATTAAATTGAATTAAAGTACCAAGCTCTGTTAATTCAAATAATTATATTGAAGTTTTCGGCTCTTGTTTTGAAACATGAGAACACTTATGTAGCGATGGAATCATATTTTTAAATAAATAATTATATTTAGGTACTTTTGTATCGAGCAATGTTTTTTCAAATAATAACAAAAATACTAAAGAACTTTGAATTATTTACCTATTTATTTTCTATATATTTTCACACACACACATTTGCGGACAAATTATAATAGAGAAAGCACAGAAATTCAACAGAAAAAAATCTCTATATATATCCAACAAATTTATACGTGTGATGATCATAGAACAGAAAGGTCTTATTCATTAAAACTACGCTAACTTCTTGGACGGCCTCGAAAATAATGACATGGCCATATCAGGCCGTTCTTCATTTTCTTCAGCCTATTCGCAATAGCTTCTTTCAAAGAATGCTTGCGAAGCAGCTTTAGATGTAGAAAAAAAAAACTAGGAGGCTACCTTCTGGTGGTGACATGATTACAAAAGAATAATCCGCCAGTTATTTTATGGGCCAGAACCTTGTACTAGCACGTGTAGCCACCTCTTGGATCGACGGCTTGTATTCCGTTTCTAGGACTTTGACGTGCGCCATAATATTGACCCTCATGTTCTGCGGGCAGACCTTTGTTACCTTGACTCCCAGGACCCAGACAGACGGCTTGAAAATTGCGTGTATCTCCCATGGATATTTCCCTAGGGTACCCTGCTTTGCGTTCGTCATGTTCCCCAAGGTTCTTTCAATGTTAATCTTCTCGATATGTCTGGAAGAGAAATGAGAATTTGGTGCATATATCATAACAATACTTAGGACTTCTTCCCTATATGAGACATTGAAAGTTAGTACTGAAATAATTGACGCAACATATATACATATACACCAATGTGTACAACTTCATCATAATCTTCTGTGTCAAAGCACTTAATTCTTTTGGGAATTTTAATCATGCAATTTACATATTATCGAGTCAAATTTTCAGTTCAAAATTAGTTAT